TGCGGTGAGCGAGACGACTGGCGACATCCTGGAGGCGAACGCGACTGATGACCATGCGGTGACGGAGATCGGCTGTTGAACCTTCTGTAGTTGTTTTGCGGAGAAGGCTGCACGGCAGACGCGAAGCGGGTGCTGTCCTGTCGGTAGTGAGGTTGAGATGAAGTTCGAGGTGGCGAGGACCAGCGGTAATTGCAGTAACGGACGACATGACCGATACGGTGGCAATGAAAAGAAATTGGTCGATTGTCGACGGTTCTCCACGCGGCAGGGTCGCGAGATCGGGCTGTGAACTGCTGCTCGCGATAGGACGAGGGTGGACGCCATGAAGCTCGCTGCGGGCTGGGCAAAGCGCACACCGAGGGAATACCTATGCTGGCGAGTTCTTGGCGGACGATGGCTTGAACCATGTTAGCAGTGAGTGGGGTGGTGTCACTTGCAGCGGTGTGAGCCGGAGCAGAGGCAATGGCTTCAAGTTCGCGCCGTACAATTCGGGTCACCTGATCCGATGAATCTAGAGGTGGTGGCTGTGTTCTTGCACGGTCTTCGCAAGATGATGTTGCAGCCGTATTCGGAAGGCGGGTGAACACGCTGTTAATCCGCCGGCTCTTCGCTTGCTCAAAGCGCCGACATTCTTTTATAATGGCGTCCACTGTAGAAAAATTTTTGCAGATGAGGAGGTTGAATGCGTCATCCGCAATCCCCTTAAGAATATGCCCGACCTTGTCAGCCTCCGGCATATCGGCATTGGCTTTGCGACACAACGACAACACATCTTCTATATAGAAGACGTAAGACTCGGTCGAGGTCTGCGCCCGAGACGCGAGCATTTTGTTCGCGGCCATTTTTCTTCCAATCGGCTTTCCGAACAGGTCTAGCATTTTCTCCCTGCACACTGCCCAACTCACAAGTTCTGTTTCATGGTTCTCATACCACGATTTGGCGGTTCCCCTAAGATAGAATAACAGGTTTGCCAGCATAAGAGTCGGGCCCCATCGGTATCAAGTACTTACACGTTCGTACTCTGCCAGCCAATCTTCAACGTCAACTTCATCTGGATCGCCGGAATCGCTGAACGTGCCAGGATCCCGCGGGGGTTCGAGCACAAAGGTTGTGGTCGCAGAAGGAGATGTAGTTACCGCATCATCTCCGGCCGCAGGAACACCAGGAGCAGATGCAGACGCCGTACTCTCCGTCATCGTTGTGGAATGACCCTTCAAACGTCGGCCGCTGCGAAGTTCCGTTGCGAGGTGGTTGCCCAGCACTTCCACCAAATGTGACGGAGCGAGGTCTTGGCTTACAGGACAGCGTCCACTGAGAGTCGGCAGCCGAAAAAGATGTCTGAGTTGCCTCTCGTGCAAGCGCCTAACGCACAGGCGTCTTCTTCATCTTCGCTAAGTGCCACGCTTGCTCCTGTCGATGATGCACCGTAACAATAGCATCGAAGTTAGCTTTTTTGTAATCGCAAATAGTTTTTTTTTTCATTCTGGTGCTTTTAGGAGGGGTAGCGTGTAAGTCAAAGGTGAGCAATGAGTGGTCACTAATACCTGGTAAACAGGTAATAGTTGAAACATAGTCTGGATGGGTGGTTAAAATCAAATCAAGAGTGTTTGTCGTAGTAAATGAGACTCGGGTGGGTTCGGTAACTAACTGTGACAAAGAGAAGACAGAACAAAAATCTAGGAAATCTTTAGAAAGCGCTGAAGAGGGTGATAAAAACGGAGGGGAGGTATGCCATTTGATATTTTGGAAGTTAAAATCACCAAGAAGGAACAATGGATATGATGGAAATCGACTGATAATAATATTGACAGAATCATGCAATTCGTTAACGAATGTAGAGGACGAAGATGGTGAACGGTATCACACACCTATGATTACTTTGAGATGACCGAGCGTTAATAACGAGAAAACTATTTCTAGGTTACTGTTCACATGAATGGGAGATGAAGGAATGTCTCGCGAAACAGCTAGCAACACTCCACCACCTCGGCGCTCCGTTCTGTCACATCGATAGACTGTGAAATGTGACGCATTTACGAAAATTTCCGAATCATGCACGTGTTCAGGAAGCCAAGTTTCAGTTAACGCGATTATGTGGGCAGAACATGAGTCTATTGCGCTTGATAACGAGTTGTGTTTGTTTAGAATGCTTCTTATGTTAGTAAAAAGTACAGAAACACGAGGCGTAGTCTGTCGGCCACTGCCCCTTGCGTTTACCTACGGTGACGTTCGTAGCAAAGTGTCGTTAGTAGGACCAGAGCTTCGGCTACTTGATGGAAGTTGTTCGATGCTATCGCTAGCTGCATTATAAATGTAGATTTTGCGGTTGAGATGCAGTTTAGTGTAGCGCAGTTGAAAATCGGGGGATCCGGGGTAGTTTTTGCCAAATTCAATTAACTTTTTACAAGCAATTCGAGTGCAGGGTGAATAATCTTCGGATACAGATATGTCACTTTCTTTGAAATGTATTCGCTTCGAGAGAATAAGCTCTTTTGTTTTGAAACTAGCAAGTTTTGTTATGACAGGGCGACACTTGTTTGGGGAGTACGTACCGAGACGGTGGGCCCGTTCGATAGCGTTACTGGGGAGGGACATATCTGCATCGGCTAGCAAGGTACTTAGCTTCGACTCAGTTTCTTTCCAGGGTTCTTTGGCGTCAGGGATACCGTGAAATATTAAGTTGTTACGGCGAGACCGGTCTTCTAGTTCGTTTAGACGCAACTGCAAAAGGTTATTTTCAGTGGTTAGTTCTTCTATAGATTTCTCGGCGGTAGATAGTCGATCACTAAAGGCATCGAGATCCTTTAACTTGCTTTCAATTTGATCTAATCCGCTGTGTATATTTGTCATTGTTGTTTCGATTTCTTTTTGGCCGGTCCTAATCGTTTTTACTTCTGTTACTGATTCTGCTTGACTCTTCGAACTTTGAGATGAGCGTAAATGAATGTCTTTCAGCAGTTGAAACACAATTTTCATTTGTTCAGCGGGGTTATCAGGCAATGACTCAACTTCTAACTATGATTCAGAGCGAGTAGTAGGCCCGGGGTTCTCTTCTACGTCACCTGAACACAGCAGTAAAGAGGCCATAGAAAAACACTCAGCAACGGTCTCGCACAACACCCGTGGGCACGGGAACAGCAACAGGAATGGATCATCATTTTTTCTAGCATGCAATGAATACTTGTTACACACCTGCATGGTGAAAACGCGGGTGAATGCGACGCGTTGGCGCTTCTCCCGTGCCCACTGAAGCCTGCCGGGGGAGGCAGCTCGTTTATGTGTGCCGGGGAAGATGATGTCGCTGAAGATTGGACTGGAAACCGAAGGTCGAGTTCCATCCACGTGTCGGGGTCGATGAAAGTTGCGTTGTCAGGTCTTCCTAGGATCTGCACGCAGGCGTAGTGGCTGTTTCCAACCACGTTTTGCGGGAGTGCGTACGAGCAATCGGAGCACCACGATACCACGGGCAGCCATGACACGAGCAATGCAAGCAAAGCCTGCATGGTGAAAACAACACGGGTGAATGCGACGCCGTTGGCGCTGCTCCCGTGCCCACTCATTCTTGCATTCATTGCCCACTCATTCTTGCATTCACTATTCTTTGCATTCATCGGGTAATGCTGCTGAAGTCAGGTTTTTCTGAAGGTTCACATGTTAAAATTGCTCATGTGTGTTCTTGTCGTTCCTGGGTAGGTACTAAGTGTCAGTCACCTATGGCACATACCCACATACCAGTGGCACATACCTTGCCATGGGTATGTGCCACTGTCTGGTGAGAAGTGTTTGACCACATGCGCCACGGGATTGCGACATTATTCATGTCATGACCAGCACGTCATTATCGTCAAACCATCTTACCCTCCTAGGCCAATTTTGATTCACACCAAGTTAAAGGGTTGATCATGAGAGCACCCAGACGTAAGTGGCTAGACAGATAGATATGCAGATAAATGGCAAAAATGCTTATTAGTACGCAAAAAAAAATGCTTCGCATTTAAAACAAGGACTTCATGAATGCCAGCTATGAACTGTGCGAGCTGTGTGTGTGTTGTTCTCCATCTGCATTCATTCGTGCCGTTCAAATTGTCATGCAGTTCCAGTCTTCTCACAAGTAGTGCAAAGACTCTGGTTATAGTGGAGCTGATTGCCTGGCCCTCATTCTTTATCTCACCCTTACTTCTCTTTCCCCCCCCACCCCCCACCCTGCCGTACTGTATTATACTACATGGTTATGCTATGCTTTCTTTCTACCGCTTTCTTTCTGCCTCTAAATTGTCCTTTCTCTCTCTCCATCTTTTTGTTCTCTTGCCTACACCTGTGCAATCATGTGGCTTCCATAAATGCTGTTATGCTTCGTGCCTGGATAGCCAAGTGGCTATGACGCTCGGCAAAAAATTTTATGTGGTTTTATTCGTTCCTTCTCCTTCTCACCACGGCTCATATCCTTTCTTGCTCTATCTTTCCTCTATTCTACTTTGCCTAACAGAGTTCTTGCTTAATGCTTGCCTCCCTCCTCCTTCCCGGTTCCTTGTCTTCGCACTCCTCGTTTTACATGGCTTCACTCATTTCAAACCCAGGCTACTACCTTCCTTCCCAGCTGCCCTCTCTTTCACTTCGCTCACTCTCTTTAATGTCTTTGCTTTCCCTCGCACCTGCTGTGCTCAGCAGGGGGGCTTGTCCTATTCCTGTGGTGCATCCCACCGGAGTTTCTTCTGTGCACGGTATGCATAGGTATGGCAGCTTAAACTGCTACACTGTTTAGAGATTGCCGAGCGAAAGCCTCGAAATTGCAGGTACCCTGCCACATAGACTGCAGTAACCTTTGGCCCAAATGTCCTTAACAGTGTTAGTAGTATCTCGTTAATCTATTCAACAGGTTCTCTGGTTCCCAGTCAAAAAAACATGCAGGTATTTATAGAAATTTAAAGAGTCTGCACATCAGAACTCCATCACTTGAGATCGTGTTGTCATGCCTGACACTATTCGTTTCTCATCCATAGGTTAGATGCTGCCACATTTGGAACCATGGGTGTAGGCGTTGGCTTTGCTGTTGCTGCAGCCCTGTGGTGCCAGACGCAGTCTCCCTCAAAGCGGGTTGTCTGCATTCAGGGAGACAGTGCCTTTGGCTTCTCAGCTATGGAGATGGAGACTGCTGCTAGGTATATTACACTAGATTTTGTTCTCCTGGTGGGATTTTTCATTCTGCTCTTTGCTGCTGCTGTTGTTGTCATTCTTCTTCTCTACGTGCCAAAACTGCAATTTAAATAAGATGTGTTGTAGTGGCTGAGTCGAGATTCATTTTGACCACATAAGGTTTTTCAACTTGCTCCTAAATATAAGTATTGTGGGTGTTTTTAAGCGCTTTTTTTGCTTTCTATACATGTTTGTCATCATGTGGTGCACATCTTCTTCGTCCTCAGATGTGGGAACTTTGCTGGACTGTGATGTCTGCGTCGGGTGTGGTCATTTCGCCTTGGCTTCAGCCTTATGAAGTCGTGTTAACCATTGGGTCATTGCGTTACAGCAGCTCTCCTCAATTGAACGATGGCTGTAACAGTTAAGATTAAAGCTGCTTCCTCTAGCAAAATCATACTATAGCTACTGCAGCTTTTTTGTTGACAGGTGTAGATGTAGACACCTTGCAATATATTAGTCAGATGAGAGGCAGTATTTGGCTGGGTATTCGATGAGCCATGATGCTTAGAAGTTCATGCTTAAATGTAGCATATCTGCGCACAAACGAAGGAGGACTGTGACTATGGATATTGCTTTTTTCAAATAAAAATTACTTGTGAGTTAGCAAAGTTTTCTCGTCGTCCTTTGCTTTGACTAAGTGCGAGTGCACTACCTTTTAAACGTGAATCGCCAACCAACTGGCCAAAGTGTTGTTACACATTGAAAAGGCATTCAATAAGTTAAGTTTGGTTGTTGGTATCGACCGCTCCTTGGTGATTAAAATGCACACTGGCAATGCGAAGGAAGAGCCAGGGTCTGGTTGAAGGCAGTGTTTATTCAACACGACCATCCGCTCGAGCTGTGCCGAACGAACTCTCCCCGTTCCCTCTTCCAACCGCACATCCCCACGCAGTTGAAAAGCAATTATGCAAACAGTGTACGTTCCCACTTTCCTTGCTCTCAGCAGAGAGAAAAAGAATCTGTGGGATGCTTTCTTACGGCAGCACCACACGCATTCATCATTATCAACGACGGGCGTAACCCACTTCTGCTCTTCGGTCGCATTGACCACATGCTGACTGGGCTGACTGTCCCAAGAATTTGCTGCTGTAGTTCGCTTCCCTGACACAAACTATCCAGGCAATAATTCTGGAAAACCTGCCACCGCTTTCTAGCTGTCTCTCCTGACGACCCCCTGTTGTGTCTGTGTAAAGGACTTGCGTCCACTGTGACCTCGCAGCTCGAAAAATAGTGAGCAATAGCATGCTAACACATTATAAGTTGTTATGCACTCTGAGAGTGACTCGATACCTTGAGCTTATTCAGTAATTGTAATAAATGAAGAATTACTTGGAGCCACTGCTGTGGTCTAGTGGCTAAGGCACTCAGCTGCTGACCCGCTTGTTGCGGGATCGTATCACCACTGCAACGGCTGCATTTTCGGTGGAGGCAAAAATTCTGCAGGCCGTGTGCTTAGATTTGGTTGCACATTAAAGATCCCCAGGTGGTCGAAATTTCTGGAGCCCTCCACTACGGAGTATCTCATAATCATATGGTGGTTTTGAGACATTAAACTCCACATAGTATTATTGAGAATTACCTGGAAGGAGTCTGTGGGCATTCCAAAATGTTGGCTGTGTTGCAAAGTGGGCCACGTTGGCCTTCCTCTTGTCTTTCTGCAGGTACAAGCTTCCGATCATTGCCATAATTATGAACAATTCTGGGATCTACAATGGCTTTGATGGAGAAACCTGGGAGTCCTTCCTGCAGTCGGGAATGCATCCTTGCATCTCGTGAGTTATGTAGTGTAGTCGAGCTTGCTACACACTGGCTGTAGCAATAATACCGTAATTACTCGAATCTAACGCGCACCTTTTTTCCGGTTAAGCGAGTTCATAAGTCGCATGCGCGTTAGAATCGAGTACGAACAAAAAAATTACGGTCAATCTATTGCCATCGGCAAATCCAAAATGGCCGCCCCCTACGTGCGTCGGCATGGCGCGTCGGCCATTTCTGCCTATGTGTTTCCCATGTGCGGCACTTCGTACGTGTGCTGAGGAGTTCGTCATCTAGTAGTGCATTAGCATCGACGGCGTGGAAGGGCCGACTCCAAAAACTCGAGTGCACCACGATGCCGCTTTTAAAAGAAAAGTCATCGCGTGTGCAGAAACGGGCGGAAATCGGGCCGCATCGCAGTCGTTTGGAGTTCCTGAAACGTGCATGCAGGACCGGCGGAAACAAAAGCAGAAGATTGTCGACAGCAAAGCTTCACGCAAAGGCTTCAGTGGACCACAGCAAGGTCGGTTTCCGCAAATAAAGAGCTGCTCGGCGAGTATGTGCTTGAGCAGCGAGCGGCACAGCGGCCCGTGACGACAGAACTGCTCCAAGTGCGGGCTATGCAATTAGTCTTAAAAAAAGGTCTAATGCGGAGCCAGTTTAAAGCGAGCAGGTGCTGGCTAACTAACTTTATGAAAGGAAAGGCTTTTCCCTCCGAAGGGGAACATGCATATGCGAAAAGTTTTGCAGTGGAGTACGATGAAAAGCTTCACAGTTTTCAGAGGTTCGTCCTAAACTTGCGGCGCAACAACGGCTACCTGCTTGGGCAAATCGGGAATGCTGGTCAGACGCCTCTTTACTTCGACATGCCTGGCACCACAACCGTCGAGAAGAACCGGGCGAAGCAAGTTCGCTTGCTGGCATCGGTCCACGGTAAAACTACAGTGACGGCAATGCTCTGTTACACGTCAGATGGGCACAAGCTTCGCCCGTACCTCATATTTAAATGGAAGACGCTCCCGAAAGGAGTCGTTTTTTTGGAGTGGTGTGATTGTGCGGGCCAGCGAGAAAAATGGGTGCGCGTTGCAATCGATGTCTTACGTTTTTTTGTTTTTTTTCGCGGTGGAAATCGGGTGCGCGTTACAATCGAGGGCGCGGTAGAATCGAGTAAATACGGTAATATTGCAAGTAAGAAATGTATGGGCACTATAGAGCTTGGGTATCTTATATAGCTTCAGTTCTACGTACAACTTGTATGATTTCAATAATTATTTCTCTACTTATTTTTTGATAGGCTCTAGGTTATCCATCATTTCAGAGAACTGGCTGTGGATGATTGTAAACAAATCATTTGCTCCATCATGCTATCTAAATATGATCACGTCTGTCCCCAATGTAGTCTCTTTTTGTAATACGACACCTAACTTGGCTGCTGAACTAATTAACCATACTCAAGGTGTGCATTGCTTACGTGTACATATTGTTTTCAGGCTTCCAGCAAACTCTCTTCAGCCAGGTGTCCGTTATGACCAGATGGCTGCCATGGTTGGTTGCAAGGGCTTTAACGTAACAACACCTGAGGAGCTTCGAGCTGCCTTTACAGAGGCCCTGGCCACCAACGACCGGCCAACTATTATCAACGTTGTCATTGATGGCATGGCTCAGAGAAAGCCTCAGGTCAGCCGCCATTGTGTTTTTTATAATTGCCCTGAGAATTGTATGACCTTGATAGGAAGCTGTGTTTGTGGTTGGAAGCTGTGTTCCTATTCCTCATATCTATTCTTGATGGAGTGTTTGTTCAAACCATTGGCAGACTTTGCTTTATTCTTAATGTTCTTATTGACTTCACTTTGTTCTCTTTCCAGGACTTTGACTGGCTGACAAAGTCCAAGATGTGATAAGTACTTGACTGTGAAAGCTGGGAATGTGCAGTATTTTTCCAATAATTTTTGTCCACCTAATCTACGACATAGCTGCTCATGCCCAAGTCTTCTGTAACTGTTTTATCTATACTCACAGGGTAGGTTTACAAAGTATTATATAGATGCGATATCACATTTCCACAATGTAATAATGCTGGTTACTGGTACTTTGTTAAGTGTGCTTCTGTGTAATGGATTCATATTAGAATTGTTTTTTATACCAATAAAAAGAAAGATCACACATTTGCTAAAAATATTGTCTTTGCACTTAATAAAAACTTCATACAGGTTACTTTTGTTGTTCCAGTCCCATCCTGCCTTTTTTTTCTTGTTTTTCTTACCAGGTAGCAAATTTTCTACGCACGTTCTAATAATGAGAGATGTTCAGGTGCCTTGCTGCGACAAATATAATGTTTGCATTAGAGCATGTTTGTAATATTCCTGCTTCTGGAGAGCTGTTATTGGTATCATATGAAATAACTGTTATCAGTATCAATAGAAGTGCTGCTACCTGTCAGAGAGCCCCAATTCTACCTGATATCTAGTCAATCAGACTTTTCACGCCAGTCTTTAGTGTGCAAGGTTACGGTTATTCGTGCATTTTGGCAATAATAGTGACTGCGAAGACCCTTGATGGCGCATTCAAGGAACAATGTACTGCCCGTGTTAACCAACCTGAAAGGCAAGGCCTATGAGCGACCGTTGTGAGAAGCCAGCTATCACTTAATTTCCATTTTTGCATCCATGGTGGTCTTGGTATTCTCGGATTCGACATATAGAGGAGGGGAGTGGGGGCTGTGGAGAGATGCCCCATTTGCACCACCCCTTATCCCCTATCAATGCCTGTTGTAATATGCCTGCTATGTACGCTGCATGTTGCAATGCATATCAGTCTGACAATTTTCTGTTCGGCAGAATGCTCTGTTTCAAGTGACCAAACAAGCGAAATCTTAATGAAAATCTGCAGACAAGCCCGCGGAGGCCTTGTTCCAGTAGATTTGGTGCCTTCCCGGTGATATGAGAAAGCTTATTGCTCAACTGTCCACTCACTAAAGGATCACATGCTACGCAACGCAGCTGGCAAAGAAAATTCACAGCTTTGCCACAAAGGCGAAGCAATGAACGCGATAACAAATTTTGAAAGGTCACGTGAAGAATGGCAAGCAGATCGAAACGTGCTCCGCGTTTCTCATGCACAAAGAATTCATGAAACGTATACTCACAGGTACAGATGAACGCGAATAAGCGTCTTACTTGTTACTTCGCTGTGTCTGAAAAGTGCGCCCTTTTCACAATCGGAGATTGTGCAATGAATGACCTTTGTGCGCCCAGGAACTACAACAGAATCATTCCGGTGAAAGCCCAAGGCGTGTGATTGTCCCCACCGCGAGATAAGCGAGCGCACGCGTGAGCGTCCCCTCTTTGTGGGGCAAAGTACGTTTGGGAAATGAGAGCGCGCGCCGTGACGATCTGGCGACGCGCGCTCATTGCGCCATCTCGCTGGTAATGCTGAAAACATGATAGTTCCCCCTAGATGCCCATAGTAAGAGGTAAGTGGTAGATATAAATAGCTTGCCGTTCGAACGTTGAAGGAGGTGCTCCTTCGCGGCTCAGTGGCTAATGCCTCGTACTCACAATTCTGAGGTCGGGCGTTCGATTCCGCTCGCCGGAGTATTACTCTGGATTATTTTTCTTTCTTGCTTTTATATATTTAGCTACGTATACATATACGGTGAATGACGGGGACGGTGAAAAAAAAACAGCCGAGACTGTAGTAATAATTGCTATCGCAATAAAAAGAGTGTGCCACCAACGTCACGTGACGCGCTGCAACCGGTACATCACGGGAGTTTGCATGCACCTAAATACGCAATAAAATGCGCGAGGGGACGATCTTCGTTGTAGCTATAGTGAGATCATCGGGCGCGTAATCCAGAGTTTGCAGGTTCGGCCCCTGCCTGCGGCAAGTTGCATTTTAAGCCTCGTTACTTCATTTACTTCTGCATCATAATTACTGCGATATGCCTGAAGCAGTACAATTAACGTTCCTTATTACTTTCTTGGCTCAATTCATTGCTGGTATTAAATTAAGGTGGTGTTAAACAAAAAAAAGTCATCTGAATTCGCGGCCTTCATTCAAGATAAATGGATACATATATTTATATATATATTGTCACAGGTAATGGGTATGAGCCATCAACTGTAGGGGGAATACCTGGAAGTGAAGAAAGAAGAGGGCTTTTGCGTCCTGGTCCCCAGGGCAGAGTGAAGTAAACGCAGCTGAGTGGTAATCATAACACCTCAAATCTCAAAATTGCTCAACTTGATTTTTTTTTCGTTTGCTCTTTTTATGTTGTTTTTATATTTACATTAGTCTTATTATAATTCCAATTCCTTACACATAGTTAAAATGATCACAGAAAAACTGCACTACACTTTCTTGGCCAATCCCCCTGAGTGGGTATGAGCCAACCTCCCAGGGAAACAAACAAACAAACAAACGTCCTGGTCTGCGGACAAGCAAGACGTCGTTTCGTCGCTCTCTGTTATTACGTTCGTGGCACTGGTGGAGGTGCTGGGTGAATGCGCCTCGGCTGCAGATTTTCAGCCGACACACCGAGCTACTTGGAGACAGCTACAGCTCCCACGGCACGAAGCAGTCGCCGCCTGCGAGGACTATCTCCCGAGTACGGTCCCCTCTCTCAAGACGAGATGGCAACTTCAACTAACAACCAGGCGAGTCAAACCAACGACGCCTATTCTTTTCTCCCGCATGTTTTTCATGCGCCGCAAACACCACGCTCATTTCATGGAGACATTTATGAAGATGTTGACGACTGGCTTGACCACTTCAATCGAGTTGCCAACATCAACGAATGGGATGAAGCTCGCAAGCTGCGGAGAGTTTACTTTGCGTTAGAAGACTCCGCCAAAACGTGGTACGAGAATCACGAGGGTTCCTTTGCGACGTGGCATGAGTTCAGCCGACAGTTTCGTGATGCGTACCGCAGCACTGAAAGGAAAGAGAGAGCGGAGCAGGCTATCTCGTCTCGGAACCAACGACCCAACGAGAGAGTTTCGATGTTTGTCGAGGACATGCTTCGACTCTTCAAGCGTGCTGACCCTGCAATGTCCGAGGAAAAGAAGGTGCGGCATTTAATGCGTGGGGTGAAAGAGCAGCTCTTCGCCGGACTCGTGCGCAATCCACCGACGACTGTGGCAGAGTTCATAAATGAGGCAACCACAATGGAGCGTACTCTCCAGTATAGGTCGTCACAGTATGAACGCCACGACCTGACCCCTGCTGCATGCTTTATCGGGGCTGACAGCGAGAGGCATGCCCTCGCTGAGTTCATAAGAAGCGTCGTGCGGGACGAGCTGCGCCAACTCCAAGCAGCGGGACCCCAACCACCCATAAGTGATCTCGCAGACTTAATCCGAAATGAGATCCGACACGTGGTCACCCCACTCGCGCCAACAAGACCTGAGGCCCCTGTGCTGACTTATGCGGCGGCTCTGCGATCTCCTGCACCACATGGCCCTGATCCCACCATGGGGAGAATGGATCAGGCTAGCCATCGATTCCAGGGCACCTCTTCGACTCTGCCACCCGTTTCAAGGCTTCAGAGTGCACCAACTTATCGTTCGTCTGGATCGCGACAGAACGCCACAAAGGCCAGCGTGTGGCGTACGTCCGATAACCGTCCACTCTGCTACCACTGTGGCGAAGCGGGTCACGTCTACTGTAACTGCCAGTACCGCCGACTTGGTCTCCGTGGCTTTCACCCAGATGCTCGGTGCCCGCGTTACGGTGAGCGTCCCCGCGACATCGAAGCGTACCTTACGGGCCAGCAAGCTCCTCGCCTTGGTCCACGCCCCCAATCACGATCTCCATCACCTCGCCGCCCCACGTCACCTAGCATTCCCTCGTCATCCTATGCTCCTTTCAGAGGCCGGTCACCGAGTCCCCACAGGGGAAACTAGAAACCGCGGCTCCTGGGGGTGAAGCCGCGTCCGAACGAACTGTCAAAGAGCCTCCTTCGACGCAAAGACCCGACGAAGACCGTTCTGACTTTCCAGTCGTTTCCGAAAGTCACAAGACTGTTTCCGCCGACATCACCGTACACGTCGATAATCACGTCGTCACTGCCCTCGTCGACACCGGCGCCGATTATTCGGTTATGAGCAGCGCCCTAGCATCCCAACTGAGGAAGGTAACTACGCCTTGGCAAGGACCGCCGTTGCGCACGGCAGGGGGCCACCTCGTGACGCCAACTGGAATGTGCACAGCCCGTGTTCGAGTCCGTGCTTCGATGTTCACAGGGTCTTTCCTCGTATTACCTGTGTGCTCCCGTCCACTCATCCTGGGGCTGGACTTTCTTCGCGAACACGGCGCAATTATTGACTTACGAGACTTGCAGGTGTCGTTCGAGGACCCGTTTCATCCTGAACCGGAAAACGCCCGCTCATCGAAGGCTGCCCTACGTGTATCCTCCGAATCTGTTACTCTGCCTCCCCGCAGCAGCCTTTTTATCAACGTTGAATGTGACCAAGACGTCCCCGATGCTGTAATTGCAGAAGGAAATTTGTCTCTACTTTTTGCACAACAAATCTGCGTTGCCCGAGGTATTGTTCAGCCCAGTAGAAAGCAAGCTTGCCTATTAGTCACGAATTTCAGCGACGAGTATCGCCATCTTACCAAACACACTGCGATCGCATACCTTGAGGATATTGCCGACGTCCCTGGTCCCTCAACATTATCTGCTCTTTCGTCGTGCGACGATTCGTGGCAATATTAGGTTCGTGGCAATATATTGTTACGGGGAGACGACAACAGACGGATGTATCTACGCTACTTACGCAATCAAATTAATCGGGGCAACAGCAGCCAAAATGGCGCAAACAGGAGACAACCCGTCTTCATCCTCGTCATCTTGGTCAGCGGCGCGTAACATTACCCTCCGCCGGCGAAAGCACCTACTCGGTGCATCCGAAACAGTAGACGGTGTGTGAGAATCGCCACACATGCGTCAATGAGGTCCGGTGTACGATAGGGCTTCAGTCGCACTGCGTGAACGACGTCGTTGCGGGGATGAGTCGACGGGGACGAAAACAACGGTTCGATCTCATACGTGACGTCGGTCACTTGACGGCACCGTCCAGTGTACGGAAACAGGATCTTTTCAGAAATTCCAGGCGTGCGGGAGGCCAAAGAAGGACAAGCGATCCAGAAATAAAGCGGGCGTTTCTGTGACGGTTATCGTAACGAGATTACTGACCCATTTGCGAGTC